TTCAATACTTTGTATTTGTTCTAGTCGATAATAGACTGCTCTCTCAGTCTCTGTTCAATACTTTGTTGTCGTTCTTGTCGATAATAGACTGCTCTAATTCCCTCTCTGTTCAATACTTTTGAGATGTTATAGTCGATAATTGTCTGTTCGAAGTGAGTCTGTTGTGTTCTTAGATAATGAATACAGAAAGAAAATATTTGCAATTAAATAATTTATTTTCAACACAGATATGATAAAAAACAAAGCACACTCTCATATTCACCTTATATGTCATAATAAACCGATTATATTTTACTCTTTTCAATTCCTGAACGGAACTGATGACACAAGCAGACACAACCTCTTCCAAAAGTATATTTTGTTTTTTCGAATTTAACGGAGTGGTGTGATGTTATTAATAAAACAATATTAATAACAATGATAATAATTCGAGGTTCTTATATACCGCTTTATCCGAACCTAGTTCGTAGGTCGTCTCAAAGCGGTTCACAAATTATTTTCCGTGGTTATAGGGCCCTGCAACCAGCCAATAACTTTCTCAACTCCCTGGGGAGCATACAGCCGATGCTGCCATTTCGGCGCTCACAGCTAGCATTCAACAATTTTAGCACTGCCCAACCACGTACTTATTTACAGCTGTGTAGACTGGAACAAGCGGAGTAAAGTATCTTACTGCAAGATACAACGCAGTGCCGTGCCGTGACTTGAACCCGCAACCCTTCGGACACGAGCCCGGCGTCCTACCACTATACTACAGTGTCTCCAATGTCAATAATCAGAATTATAATTTCTTGGTGGGATGTTTGTTCTTTACTGTCGATATTTTTATAAAACACAGAAAGACGTGAAAGGTAAATATAAATACTAATCTGCTTTAAGGTTCGGTTTATAGACAATATGAATGCCCACTGCATTACAAGAAAATGAACGCATTTTCCTGTAATGCAGTAGATATTCAAAATGCCTTCCTCGATACTCCAGGGATTACGCTCACTTTAGCTCTCTGGCCCATGAATTATGCCATGACAAAATCATGTATGCTACCTGGCGGATGAAAAGAGAAGACTAGTTTGATTCTTTGATGTACATCAAAAGAAACTCTTGATAGCCTAACAGTAAAATGGCCGGATTTGTTTTATCTGCGACCAATCAAAAACTAAGTAGCGTGCCTTCAATTTTGCTACGTCATATTCCAGGAGTGCAGAGAGCGAAAGTGGGCATAAATCCTGGAGTATCAAGGATATCATGATACCAATGGCCATGAAAATTAGTAGTTCATGTTTCATAAATATCTCTCAATTCAACGACCAGCTAAAGTTCATGTCTACAAAGTTTCATATATAACGATGAAGAAGGTAAATTAAAACAGGAAAAAAAGTTAAATACAAATAAATTGAATATAAATATGAATTGAATAGATTTAGTCTAAGAAATATAATTATTAATACATTTAAATAACAAAACATCCAAGAGGGATCTTGGCACCCACCATCGTAAGATATTTAAAGGTTCAATGTAATATTGATAGTCTTGTCAACAGTGAATGTATTATGCGGTATCTTTCATACCGCTGGTTTTAAAGACAAGTTATCATTGTTCACTCAATATCAATATTGAAATATCAATGACAAACTTCAACTGTCGAAATTAAAATGGATGATTGGGAGCAACCTGTTTTTAAATAATCAGTCTCAAAATGAAACATGCAGCATTATGGACCATGGGAAACATACATGAGAAAGATAAGAAAGATTGTCAATTACTTCTTCAGATACTTCTAATATATCCAAACGATCAGCAATTACCACATTCAGATTTAAGATGGCATATCATTGTTCCTTTAAAGTGAAAGGAGCCCCTAAAAGATGCTAGTCAATTCATGTTCAACCCCTCTGATACGTCATATTCAAAGACCCTAATTATAAAATCTAAATTCATCAATGTAATTTAAATACATGTATAAGTAAAGAATATGTGTAAGGCTGGTGTCTTCATAAAAAACAGTCCTCCGGACTTACATGTCTGTGTTTTGTTTGTGAATTGTTAACCGATAATGTGAATCATTAAGGGACAAATCTAAAAAGTTTCAAATATGTCAAGGATATAAAAATACATAAATAGCAAACAGATTATTTGTACAATATATCACTTATTATTGTGAAGTTAAACTACGTGTAAATAGTAAAAAAATAATTGCACAGAAACTTTTCATATACGTTACATTATAGAATCTTTCACGCATTTGTTTGAAATCAGTGCATTCAATCATATGATTGACTGTAAATGGTTGATCAGATGAATGAATATAAGGCTGGACTTCTCCACGTAAAATGTAACCATATGTGATGTAGGTATGGCCTTTGCGCAGTGGCGATAGGAAAATTTCCTCTCTGCTGTACTTGTTGCAAATGGATCCGAGTTATAAATGAAATGTAAATAACTCATTGTTCATTTCTTCTGACTAATTTTTTTTTTGCCAATATGTTTTAATAAAATTTGCTATGGAAGGTTTAAAATCAGAATAAGGTAGTTTACTATCTGTCGGTTTCAGGTTAAGGGATGTCCTAGATGCCTTCTCATTTCTGTTTATTCCGACATGACCTAGTATCCTAATTAAGATTAGGTGGCAGAACATTAAAATCTTGTTAATACGAAGGACAAAGTTTTATATGAGAATGTTGTTTAAGTTCCTGTTTTTAATATTTTGTAGTATGGACAAGGAGTCAAATAAGATTATTGCTTTTTGATTTTATCTTTTTAATTTATTTTATTCAAAATAAGACCAACTATCAGGTATATTAGCAATTTTGATTGATGATTGGTCTAAACGTATTTTCCAGCAGTTTGTGAAGTTGTGTTTCAAAAAACGGAATCAACTGATCATTTCGTTGAAAAAGGTTTGTTTAATACTGACTGAAAAGCTGGGTTTTCTGGAATTTATTTCAACTGTGATAATAATACATCATAGAAACGATAGATAAGAGGGGGTAGTTTTGAGCCGAATCAGATCGGGACATACATACATTATTCATGGATACTTACTAAATGGTGAAGACCAACCTTATTATTTCGCTGTTAAACAATATTCATTGTTGAATATTTTTTGGTAGCATGCATTGATCTGAAACAGGTTCTATAATAAAACATAGCGTTTACAATATAATAGTGATGTAAACAGCTTACACATTTTTAAATTTCAGTTGTTTTGCAAGTGTCAAATATTTTTGTTATTTTTGACGCCTTATGCCAGATGACATTTTGTCAATGAGCTTTAAAGCCACAACAAAGAAAACAACAACCAAGATGCGGCTCCGGTTTAAGGAAACTGCCAAAGTGATCTCGGTAACTGCAATGAATCCAATATATCGAGTATTGGTGTCACAATGGCGGTTCCGTTAGAGGTCGATCCTATGGCCATACCTATGCAAGTGAGTTCCTGCCCCATGCCCGTCCGATCCACGAAGAAGACACCGGATCCAGAATCACCGGGCTGGAAGAAAGCACCGTGGCTCGTTATTCCGGCAATTTCCAGTTGGTTTCTCATAAGAACCTTTTTCCCAGTTTGGCTAAATAATCCCATTTCTGTAGAAACTGGCGTCACCACTGTTCCCTCGCTGATTAGAGTCCCTCTTGTCACATGCGTTTCCGACCCAAACTTCACCATTCTCTTGTCACTGTCGATAGTGTTCGGGTTCATGTGAATTTTTCCAGAATTAAAGTAAGGAAGATCGTCAAATCCTAAAAATTATATAAAGGAAGAGTGTTATTTCAGACGTCTCTCTCTCTCTCTTTCTCTCTCTCTCTCTCTCTCTCTCTCTCTCTCTCTCTCTCCGAGCACAACATTCTACCCGGTCGCATTCACATTATGCTGATTACCTTCATTGAAACAAGTAAAGTCACATTCAGGCGGTATCGACAAGTAATGGGGAATGCTGTTTCACTGGAATGACGTTATTTTCCCTCTTTTCCTAAATAATGTTTTTGTTTCTTTGCGTCTTTCTTTGCAATGTATTTGTGTTATCCCAGTTGTGAACATACCCCAAAGCGGTGACGGCAGTTGGGTCTGTTCCCGGGGCTGGACATGAGAAAGTACATATAAATGGTAGTTTTGTTCCCTGCTAAAACACCCCTGCTGGTCGATGATCGAGAAGAATACACCTGCTGTTAACTTACTGTATGTATAGTAATAGGCAACTAGTGTGGAACACTGGCAATCTTTATATCCCCCTCTACTTCTTCGTACCTTTTTCCGATCGACTTGCTGGGCAGCACCTCATTATTTGGCTTTAATGTTGAACTTTCGCCCAGGTGAGGAAGGTAATGGGTTCTGTCCTCAAGCCGGGATATACAAAAGTCCTTAATAGTCCTTAATATGGTAGTTGAGTTCCATGTTTAACTTGCTTTCAGTGAGATAGCAACTATAAAGTCGACATCAGACCCACGCTATCTTCACTTTTCTCTAAGTTTAGATATCATTCACCGAATTCTTTTTTAGGTTTTACACAGTGTAATTTGTCGTCCAGGCATTGATTTTAATTATTCGCCACTTTGACTAAATTTGTTATTAACGGCTTTAAAACTGTAAAATGAAGTTTAAATCAACAGATGGTAGCAATACAATCGCTTTAGCAGCGCGAACTGCCTTTTCATTTCCTGGGTGCCGTTTCACGACGCGTACGTAAAGTTACGGGTACCCGTAAACCGTACGTAAGTTTTTTGGTCCGTTTCACGACGCACACGTTAGTTACAAGTGCACGTAAATAAGTTACGGGTACCCGTAAGTTACGCCCAAACCCTCACGTAACTTACGCCAACAAATACCTGCCGTAAACCGCACGTAAGTTTACGTTCAGACGTCATAAAAGGAAACAAATGACTACCGTATTGTGTCGTGTTAAATAAATAAACTCCAGTGGCAGTGGGCATTACATTGGGGATGAGTGTGTATAAACTAACAAATCACAAGTAGGGGTCAAAAGTACATTATTTTCCCAATATTTTACTTGGATGATAACAGCGACGGCTATATATTCCATGCATTTCTAGATATATTTCATGATATATAATGATGAGTTTTGTGATGAAATTGAACGAAATTTTAATTTCATAAACGATGATATTTATTTCAAAATACTGCAATATTATTTCGTTAGCTGATTTTGAAGATATGATACAATATTTAGCTTTATAATTATGCTATGCAGGTCGTTTTTCATGTTTAACCTGATTATATCAGAAAAAATGAATTTCTGCAAATTTGCTATCCATTTTAACAGAGACGTATACGTCTCTGATTTTAAGAAAAAGTATAAAATTAATATGAAATAAAAAAGTTTTAAAATCATAATGAGTTAATTGGCCATTGTGTCCTATTAGAAAGACGCCAACAGTAAATTTGATACGGAGACGAAAACTGGTATCTCAATAACAGAACCTTAGAGAATTATGTACATGTAAATACAACGTGTAATTTTCTGGCAGGACGTTAAGTATAAAAATCGGATGTCAAACAAATTCATGAAATTTATTGAAAAAATGTTGATAGATGCAATGGAGAAATGACGTATCTTGAAAGGCTTATGACGCGTCACTAACGTATATCAATAAAAAGTAAGAAATTGATCATAATCTGCCAAAAAATCACGAACTGTTGTGTCATTTCGTCCGTCCTTTCTTTGGATTCCAGAGTTCACATTACCCAACCTTGGCGCACCTGTTGCAAATATTTTTGTAATTGAAAAAATATGAAAGTATGTTAGAAAATGATTGTTTTATAACGATTTGATCCCGATATAATTGTCATTCGACGAGTACCGCTTTGTGAAACTGTCCCCCAACCGACTTGATCCCTACCACTGAGATCTAGACAACCCCTTATCTCCGAGTAATGGTTTGTACATGTAGATTATGCAATGATTCAGTAGTTGAAAGGGAAAGCAACGGCAAGAAAGTTTAAGTCGACGGAAGTTATGTTCGAAGGTAACTTAACGTTTAACTATCCGCTATCTTGTCGCTGTGATATTGTTGTGGTGCTTCTATTACAACACGTCGCAAGTCTGTCAATCCCTTTTTTTTAAGGGTATATACTTTTACTGTGTTGCATCCTTATAATAACAATACCTACACAATTAATTGGCTTATGTTTGACTACTGATTCCGGTTCACCCCAAGAGTCCGCGGCATCTCCAAATCCAATAGCTTGTTTTTGTTTGTAAACTTTCAGTTACATGTAATATTTGCCCAGTGTTTCATTGTGCCCTCTATAATTATACCAATCTGAAATCAACGGGTTTGTGAAATGATAAAAATCCTCACAATTAATATTTCCATGCCTAAAAATACAACAATATTTAGTTGTATCAGAGTTTTACAAAACAATGTACTTATTAATATTTAGTTGAACTGGCGATCAGATGGTCCCAATAATACAAGTACCGTCACATGTGCGATATTAGCTGTACATGTACTTGACAGTTGTTATATTTCTAATTCTAAATTGGCATAATATTTATGTATATATACATTTTTTTTTACCTATAACTAGATAACTAGTAAGTGGCATCTTTTAAGTTGTTCTTCCAGATGAAATCTAGGAATAGTTGAAAATGCTGAATTTCAGGGTTCAAAATCGGGAATCTCCATCCAAAATAGGGAGAGTTCGCAAGTATGGATTTGTAGAATATGATATATTTCTTCATCATTACATTCATATTGGTAAAATATGTAAAAAAAAAATACACAGTTGCTACATGTATGACATGACATCAAAAGAAAAAGCCCGGGCGGTTCAAATACTTCTATCCAGCTGTGCCGGGCTCTCATGTGCTGCCTCGGGTTCTACGGGGCTCTAATTAGTTTAACTATGACACTAGAGAGTTCCACTTCTGAAAGTTCTGGCCACCTCATAAATGGAAATATTCCAATGAGAATCGCCGTATGTTAAGTCTAAAGAAATCATTGAATGGTTAAGATTGTAACCGCTTTAAACCTAAGGATCATCACATCATGTTGGATTATTCACTTCCGGTATAATTTACGTGCACGTAAACCCGTACGTAAATGTGAAAAGTTACGTACGGTTTCGTGAAACACCCTCTACGTAACTTACGTGCACTTAGTTACGTGCACGTAAATATTTACGGGTAACCGTAACTTTACGTACGCGTCGTGAAACGGCACCCTGGTATGAACACATGTCCGGGAACCCAGCATAAATAAATGTTATGTGGCATTTTGAGATAATACTATGAAACCGTGTCAATATTTTTCTAATTGAGTTATTCTTTAAGTTTTGTTGCAAATGCTCTGTAGAACACATAAAGAATCAGAATAGAAGATTGACTTCGGTACACCATTGGATTTAATATGTTCAAGGGCAAGATAGATAGTGCGACCTTCTGCAGAAAATATTGATGCATCATTTGATAGCCGGCATCCGATAGCGGCATCTGATGCAACTATGGCTGCGGCGATTATATGTTCCTCTTTTGAACTATCAGTATAAAATGATTGAAAGTCTTTATATTTCAACTGCAATTTCGAAAAGGAAAAACGACAACATCGTTTTGAAACAAAAATATTTAGTCAAGTAGTTGTTTTAAAGTTTTAAACATTCATTTTTCTATAGTTTCTTTCAATGCATCTTCACTCAATAAAATTCATTTCAGAAGCTCATTACCTGCTTGTTGCATCCGGATCGGGTTATCTACAGCGAATTCACCGCTTACTGGTTGACGTGACTGTTCTGTTATCTCCACAACTGCGGCATCAACACTTGAAGGCAAGTTTGGTCTGAACACTGCTCGCTTGACCTTACCACACCTATTGCCAGTGGAACCGAAATTTGTCGACGACGGTTGTTCTATGTATATATCGCATCCAGAGTCGTCAAACGTGTAACCATTTTGATCTATACCGTAAATGATGTGTGCACATGTCAAAAAAGCCATTTCGCCGTTTAAATTCACGACAGGACCTATGGTCCCCGAAGTTGAACCTCCTTCAACGCCAAACTGGCAGCCCATCTTCAATCTGTCGTGGATATCACTACTCCTTGATGTAGCGTATGCGTAGGGACCAAACTGAAAGTATCCTTCTCTGATGTCCGTTGAAGCAATTACTTCCCCGACGGTTAGTAGCTTTGGAAATTTGTCTTCACCAAAAGGAACATATCCTTTTGAACTGCAGTAAATCACAATGCATGCCTCATCCCGGACGATGTCCCCGTTCCAGCAAGATTTAACCGGAGACGTACTAATAAAGTTAATATTGCTATGTTTTATGAATAGTTTGTCCGTGTGCTTTTGAATGATATTCTTTAACGAAGCTCTTTTTGTAGGTTTTAAGTCCAGACGTTTTTCTCTGCAGTAGTTGGTTATTGCGATTCCTTCACTCTGTATAGATTTTGGATTTCGGATTAGCACCTTTTGCCCGAATTCTGTTGTAATTCTGTCTCTTCCTTGTTCTTTGTCGTATATAATGAAGGTATGTTTTCCACGTGCATCTGTTGTTGGCACGACGAAACGTTCTTCCACTTTAAACTTAATTGCCAAAAGCCGGGCAACATTGAATGGGAATCCTTTGCAGTCACTATGAAAATCTGAAGAAAAAAATACATCAAAGTTTTAGTACGTTTGGAATGGTTAATGTATCAGTTGTTTTATATACTCTTTTCTACAACCTTAGTCATTAAACACATACAGGAGGCCATACAAAATATGATAGGGTCTGGACACGGCAGCAGGAAACTCCACCTGGTAACACTGTACTGACGGGCTTAAATGGTATAGAAAGTTAATGCGTGCACTTGGGTATATTGGGTATAACTTTAAAATCTTTTGAATAATAGGAATAAACGTCATATTACCAGCTACGGTCATTCAAACCAAATTGAACCCCTCTGCCCTCAGTAAATGCGNGGGGGGGGGGGGGGGGGGGGGGGGGGGGGGGGGGGGTAACGACCTAGAAACAGCCAGGATCATATAAGGACGAGTGCCTAAGGACACATCGCCTAGTGTTAGCGGCGATCTAATGCCGACTTGGCTTGTGTACAGAACATATTGCCTTCTTCATCTGGGCGATTGTTTGTTTGTTTGTTTGATTTTGTTTAACGTCCTATTAACAGCTAAGGTCATTTAAGGACGGCCTCCCCTGTGTGCAAGATGCATGCGTGTAGTGTATGTGTGTGTATTTTGGGAGGCTGCGATATGTTCGTGTTTGTCTCCTTGTGATAGCGCGGAACTGATGCCGACTTTATAGTGCTACCTCACTGAAACATACTGCCGAAGACACCCAGCAGGACGCCCCACCCGGTCACATTATACTGACAACGGGCGAACCAGTCGTCCCACTCCTAATTTGCTGAACGTTAAGCAGGACTAGAAACTACCATTTTTAAAGACTTTGGTATGTCTCGGCCAGGGGACAGAACCCAAAGCCTTCCTCACATGGGCGAACGCTCAACAAATGTCCAAAAGTGAGGCATTGTCAAGGAGACATTAGGAAGAAGAAAGTTATTTAGAAAGGAGAGAAGGTATAAGGTCCCAAATCTAGTCGCCTCTTACGATCATGCAATTGGGGGCAGCAGGTACAATTCTTACGCCCTACCTGCAGGGCAGTCATCTGGGCGAATGTTCAACTGGACGAATGTTCAACATTAAAGCCAGAATTGAGGTATTGTCGAGCAAGGCGCTAGCAAATAAAAGGAAGTTAGAAGTAGAAAGAAATATAAAGATCACAAATATTGAAATGGATGCAGCAGTTTTATCGTGGTCGCTCTTAATTCTCGTGGTCGCTTTTGAGTCCCGCAGCAGAGGGAAAACACAAATTCCCTTCTCGGACGAATGTGGTTGAAGGTTATTCATTTGAAAAACTTGATATCCTTCACAACCACCATGTTTCTAGTCAGATAGCATGAACCTAGGGCTTATTGATCATTGAGAATAAATCGTATGCGTGCTGGTGTGTATGTGTGCTGGAGGCAAGGTATGATGATGTATTTGTCTCTTTGAGATCACACGGACCTATGCCAGCTAAGAGTGCAACCTCACTGACATATATAGCGCGGATCTGATGCCGACTTTATAGTGACAGCTCACTCAAATATCATGCCGAAGGCACCCAGCACTTCGATGATCTTAGCTATTTATAGGACATTAACTACTATACCACCAACGAATCACGCGGCTGGCTTGTTTACATTTTGCTGTTGAGATTGTTGGAAAAGCGTTGTACTTGCATCGCCTGTTGCCTTATTAAACATGAACGCACATAGTCTATCGTCCAACAAGACATGTTTATTAACCATTAACCAATGAAAAGCGCCCTTACATCAAAAACGTTGTGGGATAATAGATAATATACAGAATAAAAAAATAGAACCCACGGATCAAGGATAAGTAAACAGAACCAAGGTAAACCAACTTCACATAACAAGAAAACTGACATGAGAGAGATTGTGACTTGTTGGTAGAAATTAGTTAAATTATTTGGACGAGTTTTTGCTATACATTACATCATGTGCAAATATAAATGTATTTCGGCCATATGTTACTTACCCTGTTTCTCTTGGTACGATGTATCGGACGTCGTGTGTAATGATGTAGAGTCCGCATCTACTTTGGAATTTAGAGAAATTTGAGTTGAAACATCTCGCCATATTTTTTCATGCGACTTCTCTGGAAATAGGATGAGAAATGAATATCAGTCATATTTAGATGGAAGTATTCTCACGTGGTGGGAACTGAAAGTCTTTTGTAATGGAGTGGCTGACCCACTTGCATGTCTGGCATTCAAACATTTAGATGGTGGTCAGGATTTAAAACTGTACAAGGATTGATCACGGGGGAGGTGGGGAAGGGGATGGGGGCAAAAACGAGTTATACAATATAACTAGGAAATTATCAAGATTCACACCCTTTACCTATAGATACAATTGTAAGTTAAATCAGACAAGTGTAATGACACTAGGAGGGCCCCAGGGATTAGTCCAAACTCGAGGAAACGTAAGTGGCTGGTTACATCTTTGAGACTATTAAGAAACTCACCCCATAACTTCATATATACAATTGCTGGGAATAAAAAGACAAACACAACCATGGTATTATAATTGACTCTTGGGTCATGCCATAGCCTTTGGAACTATCTGGATCACATGTTGAAAACAAGTTGAGATTCCTTCCATGTAACCAAGTATACATGTGCAATAGCTGGGCAAGATCAAACCAAACCAAACCTTGGGTCAGGTCACACCATTTGGGACTTTTAAAGGGTCATACCTTGATAGTATTTAAGGTTCCCTCCCGATATCCGATTAACCGACTAATCATAAATCAAGTAATCAAGTAATATATGGAGGTTTCATTCTGTGTAGCCGCTGTTCTATATGCGTATTTTATTTAGGTCCCTGTCATAACATAGTCATCCTCCGATGTCAATTATTACGTAAATAGGGATTTGCCTTCGTCCTTTCTTTGGCTTTTTGTAGAGAATTATATTAAACACTAACTACTATACAACCAAACGATCCCGTGACTCGCTTGTTTACATTTTCCTGTTGAGTATGTTGGAAGAGCGTTGTGCGTGCATCGTCTGTTGCATAATAAAACATGCAAGCAAATATCGTCCAAGATATGAAAATAAAGAAAAGCGCCGTTACATCGAAGACGTGGTTATATCGTAGATAATATGCAATGAAGAACCATCTGGCATGAAACTTCTCTGAAAATAAGTATATCAGTCATATTTGGATGCATGTATTCTCATAAATTATTAAGCCTTTGGGACGTTCTGGGTCCCATGTTGAACACAAGTTGAGATTCCTTCCATATAACCAAATATGCATTTAAATAGCTGGTCAAGAACAAACCAAACCAGACCTTGGGTCAGGTCGAATTTTTGCTATACATAACATCATGTGGTAATATAAATATATTTCGGCCATATGATACTTACCCTGTTTCTCTTGGTACGATGTCTCGGACGTCGAGTCTAATGATGAAGAGTCCGCATCTTCTATGGAATTCGCGATGTGAGAAGTTATAAAAAACAAATCTTGCAATTTTGTTTCAGGCGACTTCTTCTCTGGAAATAAGAAAAGAATATCGGTCATATTTAAAGGGAAGTATTCTCGCGTGGTGGAAACTCAAAGTCTTTTGTAATGGAGTGGCTAACTTACTTCCATCTCTGGAATTCAAAGATTTTAAGATTTCACCATTCACTGGTGGAAAGGATTCAACCCTGTACAAGGATTGACCACGGGGGAGTAGGGGAAGGGGATGGGGGCTGCGGAGTGGCGTAAAAAAAGAGGAAATGATTAAGATTCCCACCCTTGACCTCTGTATACAATTAAAGTTAAATCTGACGAATGCAAAAGATACCAGAATAATCCCGGAGGTTAGCCAAACTCGTGCAAACGTAAGTGTCTGGTCTCATCTTTGAAACTATAAAGGACCTCACCAATTACTTCATGTATATATACAATTGCTTGGAATAAAAAGACAAACACAACCACAGTATTAGAATTGACTCTGGAATTAGGCCATAGCCTTCGGGACCTTGTTGGTCCAATTTTGAAAAAAAAAGAAATTCCTTCCATATAAACAAATATACATTTACAATAGCTGGGCAAGATCAAACCAAACCAAGGGTCAGGTCACACCCTTTGGGACTTTTAAAGGTAATACCTTGATAGTATTTGAGGTTTCCTCACGATATCCGATTAACCGAAAATCATAATATATATATATATATATACATTATGTTATATTCTATACATTGGCTTAACCAAAAAAAAATTATGTAATGATACATGGACTATTAAAATTCCCTTAAACTGCCGTCTTAATGAATGTCAATATTCATACAGTTGGTAACAACTGGTATATTCCCGACCTGCTGTGATTAAGAATGAATATGAATGAATGATTTATTATGCTTTATACTAAATTTATCTTGCATTTGCATTATTAGGAGCTAGCAATTTGAAACATATGTAAAACGTTTTTATGCTAAAATATTGAAGCAAAGCAGGTCTAAAATTTTGGAGAGAAGAACGGCGTTTTAGAAGCGCGACTTCGATTATTGGATAAAAATAGTTTACGGATATTTGTTTACTTATTGTACTTATTTACCTCTTGTATCGCTGATGTTAAATGACGGCGTCTTTTCAAGGGTACATTCATCAATCCTTCCATAATTAATATATTTTCCTGAAACTAATGAATGATACAGCATATCAAAAATTATATCTTGAAGGGCTTAATAACCCTTTCCGTGTTCTTTCTTTCCTACATATTCTGCGAAACACTTCAAACATGTTTGATCTCTTGTAACCATTAAAATGACGACATTGATATATGGTGCAGCACGAATGTCCACTAATATTTTCGTACATCCGGTTCCTTACTTTGTATTTCTAGTTTTTCATGGCAGAAAGTTCAGACAACTCCTTGTTTTATGGGCCTATTGATACTTTTGAATTTACCGTTTCAAACAATAACTCAATCTGCGTACACATAATTCATGTCACAACTCATGAAAACTTGTGTCTTGGTCACGTCTCATAAAATTATTAGGAACCTCATCCAATATCTTGTATAAATACAATTGCTGGGAACAAGCAAAGAAAACAAAGCATGGTACTATAATTGACCCACAAATCATGGTACTGAATTGACCTTTGAACTAGGCCACACCTGTGGGGACTTTCGTGGTCCCAACTTTAAAGTAGTTGAGCCTCCTTCTCGATAGCCATACATACAATCATGATACTGAAGTTGATCCTGCGGCTGCGGTCAGATCACACCATAGGAGGCTTCGTTTCTTTGTCATAACTGTGAACCAGTTGTGTCCCCATAGCCCATAAATAGTTATAAATACAATTGCTGGAAATAAACTATTAAAATGATAATAATGATAAACATACCGTTCGAATTACATGAGTTGTTGGTACTTGATCTAATTGAAGAGCGAAAACCTGAAACATAAAACAATATTTTTTTAAGAAATAACAAAGAATATTTTTATGGGTCGAATTACATGAGTTGTTGGTAAATATGTACTTGATCTAATTGAAGAGCGAAAACCTGAAACATAAAACAATTTTTTTTAAGAAATAACGAAGAATATTTTTATGGGTAAAACTATTTAATGTAATGATGAATGAGCAACTGATATGCAATTTTAAACTGCCATCATAATGAATATCATAATGTCGATCTGTAGAATGACACTCCTTCGTCATATTACACAGATAATATATGTTCCCCTGCAAATAATGTTGGGGGGTTTGGGGTTGAATTATACTTGTATCACCCTTTCTGTGTGTATGTCGTAAGCAAAATCCTGTCCGGGCAACTCTTTCTAAACATGAACATAATCAGATTTCAACGCAACTTTACAGTTTCCTAACTTCCCCCTGTTGTTGTGCATCAAGATATTATTTATTTCGTTCTAACCTTTTTTAATGGAGCTACGGCCCTTTGTTAAAAATCCTTTTCCGGACAGCTCCAAAACTACTAGGCTTATTTCAAAAAGTGTTAAGATATGATTAATACCCCCTGATGGTGTATATCCAGGTATTAGTTTTCATTCCGACCCTTTTTTTGGAGTAATAACATTTTTTCGAAAAACTCTGGTCCGAACAACTTCCCTAAACAACTGAGCCCCGTTGTTGAAAAAACGTTGTCTGGACTACTTTTCCTAAACTACTAGGCTGATTTCAGCGAAACTTTACAGTTTAGTTTAATTTAGTATTTTTTAACTTCCTGTCAACAGCTATGGTCATTTAAGGACGGCTTCCTCTGTGCAATATGCATGCGTGTAGTGTATGCGTAATTGTTGTTGGGGGCTGCGATATGTTCGTGGTTGTTTTCTTGTGATAGCGCAGAACTGATGCCGACTTTATAGTGCTACCTCACTGAAACATGCTGCCGAAGTTACCCAGCAGGACACCACACCCGGTAACATCATACTGACAACGGGCGAACCAGTCGTCTCTCTTCTTAATTGCGGAGCGTTAAGCAGGAGTAGAGACTACCATTTTTACAGACTCTGGTATGTCTCGGCCACGGGACAGAACCCAAAGCCTTCCACACAGGGGCGAACGCTCAACTAAAGTCCGAAAGTGGGGCATTGTCAAGGGAGACATTACCATGTTTAGAAAGAAGAGAAAAGATAAGACCCCAAATTTAGTCGCCTTTTACGATCATGCAATGGGGTCAGCAAGTCCAATTCCCACGCCTTACTTTCAGGGACCGCGAAATTTTACAGATATGATAATCATGAAGTTGTGTACTTCCTATCTATTATTTCATTCGTTTAATCTCTAATTTGGAACTCTTTTTTGGGGGGAAATGATGATACCTATTTTTTCCTCTAAATTTCCAATTTCGGGATTTGGCGGGATATCGAAGTTTGCCCTTTTCCACACAACACCTCCTACAATTATGGACCAAATTGTTGAAGATTCTTATATCAAATATTATGGGCTGCAGTTCTTTCCTAATTGAACGCTTGTCTTGAAACCCTTGTTAAGTGGGAAATGTGCTGTGTGATTTTAAACTGCTCAGTAAATAAAGAAATCAGTATTTGCAAAAGGAAAAACTCGTTGCAAAGGGTGAAGCAGTTTGTTGTGTTCGCAAGTAGAATATTAAAGGAGTTCCCAATTTTCTGGGGTTTCCCAATTCTCCACCTCCTCCGACTCATGAAGATGGTAACAACATGTGAATTCCCGACCTTCAGTAATGGTGGGTGAATGTTGAATAAATAATTCTTTGTGCACATTGATAAATGTATCTTGCATTTACATTACTAGGAGCCAGCAATTGACATATGTACGAAACCGTTTGATACTATAATGTTGCAGTCAAGCAGGTCGATAATTTGGAAAGAAGAACACACCTGCTGATTCGTAGAGATTGACTCGTGCTGGAATCCCTTGCAGAGCTTCTATACTTTGTTTACCTGCCGTTTAATATTAAATGAGTGGCGGCATTAACTGTTGACGCAGTTTTCATTATAATGAGAACGAGGCTAGAACTTAGCTACTGTGTGGCCCCATAATCTGTGGAACCGTTTTCAAATTGATCTATTGCAATGATTTCAAACCTAAACTTGCTGAATTGAACAACATATCTGTAGTATCTGGTTCTACTACTAGCAGAGACAGACTGGAAATAAATGCTCGGTTACATTTGCGCTCTTGTAGATATTTGTGCTGTGTATGATGATCGTGACCATTTTATTTCAAGCATGCTTTTAGTCGGTAATACTCGACGATAAGCTCTGTCCATAAGGAGGGGGATGTCATAGTCCTGAGCCATCTAGACCTGGGCATATACTACCGAGCTGTAAGCTTAAGTACTATCTGCAGAGCACTTGACAGGTAATTTTAAGTGTGAGGTTTGATCCTAGCAGAGGCGTTTGAGAATCGCGACCTCGATTATCGGATACAAATGATTCACAGATATTTGTTTACATATTGCACTTATTTACTTATTGTATCGGTGACGGTAAAACTCTGTGTCCTCTCTATGGTACATTCACCGACCGTGCCATAGTCTGTATGTATTCCTGAAACAAAAGAATCGTATTATTTGAACATGTTACAGAATATTGATATTATGACATAGTTATAATTTCCCTTCTCTTTCTTAAAGCATAATCTACGAAACACTTTATACATGAAAAAATAAATTAAATGTCGCAAATACGAATATTGCGGTCACCTGGATTCAAGGGCGGCCGACAAGATCCTCACAAAAAGAAATGATTTTCCATATCATTTTGTACCATGGTACACTTGTATATAGTACACAAAGATATTAAAATTCAAATCTGTGTGTACCATATACAAGTGTACCATGGTACACAAAGATATAAAGCAAAAATAAAATCAACCCGTTGCTTTTGTTTCTTTCTGTACCAAAACAACGGCCGAAAACAGCCGTTGTAAAGAAACATGTGAAACCATCAGAGTATGACAAATTACACCCTAATAAGGCTGTCATCACATACAATGAAAAATTATCGCACGGAATATCTGTTATTTTGATTACACCAAATGAGCTATCAAGCTATTACTGTTACTCATTTAAATTGGAATCAACTATTCAATATCCTTTACCGAACTTTATAAAGGTTTTACGTAAAAAAAGGAAGTCATTATGGATTATTTTTCTAATATTTACATTTCTAATGTATTCTATCTGCTTCAACCTCTCAAATGAACGAAACTCCAAATCAGTTGAAAACGCCGACGTTGTCCGTAGGGGACAAAACAGGACAATCAATTTAATTACATCGAAACATAAATAGGCTACTTATTTATAATTTCTTTTTGGGGAATACGATGAGCTAGTTGTACGATTCTTTTATAATCTGGACTTCTATCAAAACAAGGGAAATTACGAAAATATACAGATGTCCTTTTATCCCTTTTGGAGACCCTGTCAAGGCCCCAATACTTACACAATTGCAACTAACTCTGTTTTTCATCAGAAGTGATTAATGAACTACACGAATTATTTGACGTTGTAATTAGGGCTTTGCTATTCGGGGTCAATTCTGGTCATAGTGTCCGATAACAACATTCCGATGGTCTGGTGGTACAATTTTTTCATATCTATTTGTACCTTATGTGGTACAAAAAGAAATGAAATAAGTGTAACGCAGTACAAAAAAGAGAGAAGCTTTCATATTTCTTTGTACCGGGCAAAAGTGTACCACGGTATAGAAAGATATGAAAATTCAAATAAGTTTGCCGGCCGATATCGGCTGTTGGTACATATACATATGAAAGTAAAAAAAAAAATTTCTCAAGATGTTTAATATCTTTATGTACCACGCATGGTACGAAATAAGTTGAATTTTCATATCTTTGTTTACCATATAAAAGTGTACCGTGGTACAAAAAGATATGAAAATTCATATTTTTTGTCAGGCTCTTGTCGGCCATCGTAGAAAGCCAACAAAATGTTTGGAGAAAGAGGAAATGACATACAAATGAATGACGTCAAACTAACTCGTTGAATCTTAAGAAATGGATATTCACTAGTTTGATCTTTGGTACCACACAAATAGCGACATTGATATATGGTGCAGCACAAATGTCCACTTTTTTACTGACATATATTGTTTCATATTTCGTATTTTTACTTATTTTGGCTGAAATACCCTAGAAAAAAAGTAAATCAAAGTTAGCAGATTTTTATTCTTCAAACGTCCATTTTATAAGCTTTTGTATGTAATAGTTTGACTCGTGTGTACACGATTGTTTCGTTTCCGAATATTTTACTCCATGTCTTGCCTGAAATGAATAACAGACAACCTTACCATTATAAACAGTGTCGAAACAGGTGAAGTTGTTATAGGTGGATTTCATTTGATTTTGTCATTTTTGCAACCGATTTCTTTTTCCCGATTTACATGGTTTAAACAATACCACTGCATGAACATTGGTTAATGCATTATCATATAGCGTTAATTTCTGCAGCGTTTTGTCTCGCATGACCTACCAGAGTCACGAATGATGATAAGGCGATTCATATTCAAATAATTTCTTTTATCAATATATACCCACTCACCGCTTTCAACAATTGAAAAGGAATAAGATCGAGGACGGTTTTGCTGTCGGAAATCATGATCTGTAACACATGATTGAGTACGTAGTATGAATGCAAAATTATTAAATAAAAAAAACAAGTGTTAAACAGTGTCTAAAGTTTACAACTTTATGAATGTTGTTTTATTGTCTGAATTTGTACCTTAGGTGGTATAAAAAGAAATGAAAAAAAGTGTAACGCGGTACAAAAAGGAGAGAAGGTTTTATGTATCTTTGTACCGGGCAAAAGTGTACCACGGTACAGAAAGATATGAAAATTCAAATAATTTTGCCAGCCAATATCGGCTGTTGGTACATATACATAAAAAAGTAAAAAAAAAATTGGTAAAGTTGTTTAAAATCTCCATGTACCACGCATGGTACGAAATGATTTGAAATTTCATATCTTTGTGTACCATGGTACACTTTGAATTTTCATATCATTGTGTATCATATGAAATTGTTACGTGGTACAAAAAGATATGAAATTCATATCTTTTTGTCAGGCCCTTGTCGGCCATCGTAGAAAGGCACCAAAATGTTTGGATAAAGAGGAAATGACGTACAAATGAATGACGTCATACTAACTCGTTGAATCTTAAGAAATGGATATTCACTTGTTTGTTCTTTGGTACCACACAAATGGCGACATTGATATATGGTGCAGCACAAATGTCCACTTTTTTACTAACATATATAGTTTCTTATTTCGTATTTTTACTTATTTTGGCTGTTTATTCAGGCAACTAACTGTTTATGGGTTCTATTGCTTTTACAAACTCGATATAAGCTTTTGAAACAGTAACCCAATCATCGTATACACTTATTCAATACAGCTTTGATTGTGTGAAGTAATATCTTTGCTGCGTTAAAATATTTTGGGATGCGTTCAACTCGAAACGGTTGCATTCCGTTTTCATTTCCCTCCTATTAAGACTGGTTGAATACATATCATATTTGGTTTTTATAGGGTTAAGGTTGTTGTCAGGCATGCTAAGAGTAGTCATAAGTATATATATCGGATACGATTCTCGTATGTTCGATTAAAAGGTAGATCATTCACTACTGCAGTATATTACTCTACCTGAGGTGTGGGTTCTTCGACAACTTTCCGTTTCATCGTCTGAAACCCCATACCCTAGAAAAAAAAGTAAATGAAAGTCAGCAGATTTTTATTCTTCAGACGTCCATTTTATAAGCTTTTTTATGTAATAATTTGACTCGTGTTTACACGAGTGTTTCGTTTCCGAACATTTAGCTCCCTGTCTTGCATGAAATGAATAACAGACAACCTTACCATTATAAACAGTGTCGAAACAGATGAAGTTGTTATAGGTGGATTTAATTTGATTTTGTCATTTTTGCAACCGATTTCTTTTTCCTGATTTACATGGTTTAAACAATACCACTGCATGAACATTGATTAATACATTATCATAAAGCGTTAATTTCTGCAGCGTTTTGTTTCGCATGACCTACCAGAGTCACGAATGATGATAAGGCGATTCATATTGCAAATAATTTCTTTTATCAATATATACCCACTCACCGCTTTCAACAATTGAAAAGGAATAAGATCGAGGACGGTATTGCTGTCGGAAATCATGATCTGTAACACATGATTGAGTACGTAGTATGAATGCAAAATTATTAAATAAAAAAACAAGTGTTAAACAGTGTCTAAAGTTTACAACTTTATGAATGTTGTTTTATTGTCTGAATTTGTACCTTAGGTGGTACAAAAAGAAATGAAAAAAAGTGTAACGCGGTACGAAAAGGAGAGAAGGTTTTATATCTCTTTGTACCGGGCAAAAGTGTACCACGGTACAGAAAGATATGAAAATTCAAATAATTTTGCCGGCCAATATCGGCTGTTGGTACATATACATAAAAAAGTAAAAAAAATAATTGGTGAAGTTGTTTAAAATCTCTATGTACCACGCATGGTACGAAATTATTTGAATTTTCATATCTTTGTGTACCATGGTACACTTTGAATTTTCATATCATTTTGTATCATATGAAAGTGTTACGTGGTACAAAAAGATATGAAATTCATATCTTTTTGTCAGGCCCTTGTCGGCCATCGTAGAAAGCCAACAAAATGTTTGGAGAAAGAGGAAATGACGTACAAATGAATGACGTCATACTAACTCGTTGAATCTTAAGAAATGGATATTCACTTGTTTGTTCTTTGGTACCACACAAATGGCGACATTGATATATGGTGCAGCACAAATGTCCACTTTTTTACTAACATATATAGTTTCTTATTTCGTATTTTTACTTATTTTGGCTAGTTATTCAGGCAACTAACTGTTTATGGGTTCTATTGCTTTTACAAACTCGATATAAGCTTTTGAAACAGTAACCCAATCATCGTATACACTTATTCAATACAGCTTTGATTGTGTGAAATAATATCTTTGCTGCGTTAAAATATTTTGGGATGCGTTCAACTCGAAACTGTTGCATTCCGTTTTCATTTCCCTCCTATTAAGACTGGTTGAATACATATCATATTTGGTTTTTATAGGGTTAAGGTTGTTGTCAGGCATGCTAAGAGTAGTCATAAGTATATATATCGGATACGATTCTCGTATGTTCGATTAAAAGGTAGATTATTCACTACTGCAGTATTTACTCTACCTGCGGTTTGGGTTCTTCGATAAATTTCCGTTTCATCGTCTGAAACCCCATATCCTAGAACAAAAAGTAAATAAAAGTCAGGTGATTTTCATTCTTCAGAAGTCCATCTTATAAGCTTTTTTATGTAACAGTTTGGCTCGTGTGGTCACGAGTGTTTCGTTTCCGAACATTTAACTCTCTGTCTTGCCTGAAATGAATAACAGACAACCTTACCATTATAAAGTGTCGAAACAGATGAAGTTGGTATAGGTGGATTTAATTTGATTTTGTCATTTTTGCAAAGGATTTCTTTTTCCCTGATTTACATGGTTTAAACAATACCACTGTATGAACATTGGTTAATGCATTATCATATAGCGTTAATTTCTGCAGCGTTTTGTCTCGCATGACCTACCAGAGTCACGAATGATAAGGTGATTCATATTCAAATAATTTCTTTTATCAATAAATACCCACTCACCGCTTTCAACAATTGAAAAGGAATAAGATCGAGGACGGTATTGCTGTCGGAAATCATGATCTGTCACACATGATTGAGTACCTAGTATGAATGCAAAATTATCAAATGAAATACTAATTGTTAAACAGTGTCTAAAGTTTACAAATTTATGAATGCTGTTTGATTGTCTGAATTTAACCGAAATAAACCTTAAAATCATCTTATTATTCAACAATACCTCGTCAAACGTGACATTGTTTCCGTCAAACTGTCCAAAATGTGATCATATAAAAAATAAATATATAAAGAGGGAAATATAATGGGCCTCACTAAAAAAAAAAATCAAAGGTCAAATGAAGTCGGGTGTATAGGGTGACCGAAAAGGGACAAAACACAGAATTGTGAAACTCGGGAGTTGCAATGTTGACTGCAAATCAATTACAGTTTCTTCAATATCCCGTAAGCAGAAGGGATATAAGGAAACAACCGATTCTTCAAGGGTCTCCATTTTTCGCCGACTCGATAACATGCGGTTGGATACAGCAGCCTTATTCGTTCCCCTAGCCTGCAGAGCTGGTTGTAAAGGGTTTATGATGCTACCAACAGCTAAGGTCATTTGAGGATGTACACCTCTGAGAGGTCAAACAATTCCTGTATTAAACCTTTTTTCTTATATGCATTTTAGGAAAAAAAATAGTAAATGCCATAGCAGAAAGTGAAAAAAGTTATATGTCTTTGTGTTCGATTTTGATCTATGATCAGTCAAAGATAGCAATATTATTTAATCTTGCTTGTAACAATTGTTTGTTTGTTTGTTTGATTTTGTTTAACGTCCTATTAACAGCTAAGGTCATTTAAGGACGGCCTCCCCTGTGTACAAGATGCATGCGTGTAGTGTATGTGTGTGTGTGTATTTTGGGAGGCTGCGATATGTTCGTGTTTGTCTTCTTGTAATAGCGCGGAACTGATGCCGACTTTATAGTGCTACCTCACTGAAACATACTGCCGAAGACACCCAGCAGGACGCCCCACCCGGTCACATTATACTGACAACGGGCGAACCAGTCGTCCCACTCCTAATTTGCTGAGCGTTAAGCAGGAGTAGAAACTGCCATTTTTAAAGACTTTGGTATGTCTCGGCCAGGGGACAGAACCCAAAGCCTTCCTCACAGGGGCGAACGCTCAACAAATGGCCAAAAGTGAGGCATTGTCAAGGGAGACATTAGGAAAAAGAAAGTTATTTAGAAAGGAGAGAAGAGATAAGGTCCCAAATTTAGTCGCCTCTTACGATCATGCAATTGGGGGCAGCAGGTACAATTCTTACGCCCTACCTGCAGGGCAGGCTTGCTTAACAAGCCTTTTCATTGGCTTCAAAATTTATGTTATCAGCCAATAACGAAAAGAACGAACGTCGCCGTTTGTAACGTCGCTTTTGATTGGCTGATACAGCGGCGTAATTATTTCTTAGATAGGAGAGTCCATGAATAAAAATGGATTTTCACAGGGATTATGTATAGTAGATTAAATTATAAGGACTATGTTTGTGTTATGGAGCTATAACACAAAAAACCGGAGACTACTCTCATCATTTATTTACAGTACACTCCGTTTTTTTGTTATATCTCCATAACATAAAAAATATATTATAATTAGTAATACCTCCAATATAAGGTATTTTAAAGATTTATCTGAAGTGCCCCTGTACGGCCCACTTTCTCTAGCCCAATTATAACAACACTCATCATTTATCCAATGTTGAATCACTTTGTTTTAGGATGGTCCTCGCTAATTCAGGTTAATATCTCGTTTCCCGTATTCAAGGAGTATGACCTTAAAGATTTACTAATATTTCCCCCATTGGGCTCTACCTCACCACCCACTCTTCACTATAAAGTCGGCAAATATTCCACTCTACAACCAGAAGGAAAATACACACACACCCTACCACCAGCGAACATGCACATACACGCATACACAACTCACATTCAGTCACGTCATTAAATTATCTTAGCTGTTGATAGGACATTTAATCTTTACAACAACCTGCATTTATAAAATGTAGAGTTTAACTCATACTGATCTGTAGTCATTAGATTTAAAAGATGAAGGATACTCCCTTTTTGTTGGTCCCGTCCCTCTGTCCCAGGTAGTCGACATCTTATAGTTATGCAACATAGTGTTTCCTTGGCGCAAGTGTACTCGGAACGACCACGATGCCATACATATCTTGAATTAAGATGCAAATACTTACTTGACGAATGGTCCACCTCAGACTTGCTAGGAACTTCTCTTAAGAACCAGTTTTCATAATCTAAATATTAATGCATCAACACATATATTAGTATGGATTCATGATGCAAAACGATAGATAATGCAGAGAATAATCGTTAAATATATTGTCAATTACCGCCGGATATTCTTTCAAGTATATAAAATGGGTTTAAATGATGTCGATGAGTTCATTTATTACATTTCATTGTCAGTATAATGTGACCAAGCAAAATGATGTGGTGGGTGTCTTCGGCATGGTATTACAGTTAGGGCTTATTAGGACTTTTTCTTCTTCCTCTTCTTCTTCTCCTCAAGATCTTGAGACCAACTTTCCTTCTAAATGGGAATAAGTACATATATGTACATGCTATTTGCCAGGTTGTAGGTAATAGTTTGGCAATGCAAAATATCCAAATTGATCAAAAGTTCAATATGGCCTATAAAGTGATTTTGTTACCTTTTTTTAACAGCCATACCTCCTTAACTATACATGGTAATATAATGATAGAGTGTGATCGGGGCTATATTTGACTTATGTCATGTAATGAGGAAAACAGGTCAAGTTTAAATTCTCGCCATGTGGCAAAAAGGTCACCTATTTTTAAAACGTTTTCTTTTTCACATTTTATAAAAACAACTCTTATTGCAGTCGATAGGGAATGTCCACCCAATCAATTTGATATATTTATTGCTTCTGTAACATTTAACATTAACGCCATATGACGTTCATTATTCCTTTGATCTTTTGAAACGCCGACGATATTACTAACAAACTTTAACGATATTCTTTTCCAATTTTGCGATTGCAATATTAACCAAAATTTGTACATATATTCCTTCGGGGGGCCCTTACGAGCTTATGTTACTTTTTGGAGCAATTAACATTCTAAGATGGCCGTCACTATTGGTTAGCAGCCTATACAAATATATTTCATTAACGATATAAAGCACGAGGTTTGTCTTTGGATAGTATGTAGAGATAAAAAGGGGCAAACCTGTTTTCATATTGTATTAAAAAAAAACCAGCGAAAATCAAAGTTCAAATGTGCTGTTTTTTGCAAAACATTATCTACTTCTCAAATCTGCAATATTGACCACAATTGGTTCATGTATTACTCATTACGTTCTGACGAACGTATGTTTCCTCTTGGAGTGATTGAGATTTCAAAAAGAACTCCACGAACTCCGATTGGTTAATAGCCTATACCAATATAGTTCGTTAACGATGTGAACCACAAAGTTGATTTTTGGATATGATATAGATATGGATTAGTTGAAACCTTTTTTTTTCATATTATTTTAACAACAAATGTCTGTTAACGTGGAACAAGCTTCGATTGTTGATCCGGGAAAAGGAAAACTGAGAGAATGGATTACAAAACTATGATGATGTTTATTTACAATGAAAGACAAATAAGCATTAAATATATAGCAGACACCCTTACAATCTCACACACTCTCTCCAAATAGTAATAAATTGCCTATGTAGCTTCACGCATCACACACGGCCACGGAACCACAACAAAGTTCCCACAACAGTCACTGAATCGTGACTCAGCTCAATTCAGAGCCAATACCTTCAAGCAGTACCATGCTTGTATACACCTTGCCATGTAAACGCACTAGTGTCTATGACACGACAGCACACCCAAACGGTTGATTGGTTCCCAGAAGCACATTCGCTAATAAAGTCGCCGACCTTATTCTCCAATTATGCCAGTGCGAAATTAACCAAATTGGTACATGCAATACTCTGGTGGACCTGACGAATTTATAACTCATTTTCGGAGGATTGCAAATTCAAGATGGCCGCCACGGGCTCCGATTGGTTAATAGCTTATACCAATATATTTCGTTAACAAATTCAAGCATAAAGTTTGGCGCAAGAGTTGTACCTGCTGCCCCCATGGCATGATCGAGGCGACTATATTTACGATCTTATCTTTTCTCTTCTCTATAAACATTTTTTCTTCTTCCTAATGTCTCCCTTGAAAATGCCCCATTTTTGGCCTTTAGTTAAGCGTTCGCCCCTGTGAGGAAGGCTTTGGATGTTGTCAGGCCTAACGGTGAAAAGCTCGTCAAATTGTTAGCCAACATTTCTAGTTTATAAATTGTTTTTGATATCGCATTCGTTCAATGTCCTTTGAAAGGTGTCATCCATGCATACAGTACTACAGTTGTTTGAACGCACAACCTTTTGACAAAACGACCCTTTGTTCCGACATGCCCGCACGAAATTGTAAATTGTTGAACAATATAACAGAATGGAAACAAATACTGACTCTTTTTCTCAGCTACAACTGACCCTCGTTGAACCCATAAATTCCCCTACATGCCCCCTATT